ACAGGTCATCAAGACACATTTCCTATCAACGTCAGGATTCTCTCTCTACGACTCAGAGTCGATATTAATAACTCCTGCTCTGAATTTTTGCAAATGAATCCACAACGTTTTATACTGAGGACTCCAGTATGTGTCATCGTTCTGCAATGACAGACAGACTGGCTGGCTGGTTCAGCAGACGTGGCTTTGGAAAGAGACGCCTGTGAAGACATAGTAGGATTATTTTTCCCAACTCACTTTGGACTGACAATGAACTGATCTTTGTCACAATAGAGTAGGGAATAGAATCAGAAGCCCAGGAGACGGTAATGATTTGCCATCAGTCAATGCTGGGACATGTTATTGCTTTTCTCCAAAAACGGCCATTTTCTATCAAGTGCTATATTATATATATATATAATATATAATCACACACACATTGAACCATTCATTTGATTTTTACAATCCTCTTCATTCAAAAATACTTTATAAAACCTGTGTCTTGGTTGTCCAGGATTCTAATGTTTCTGTCCGTAACTATATGGTTTCAATGTAAGCCTGGAACATTTCAGAACTGGGTTCTCTTGTTCATTGAAGTGTTTGTCAATTTTACAAGTGAAATTAGACTACGGAGCCTTGGTTTGTATTACTGCAGCTCTAAAATCTTAATAATCTGACCAGAGCAGTCTGCCGCTCTACAGAAGTACCAGCAATTGCTGCCCTGCTAAACACCATGGAACGTAGGGTTTGCCTTGAGTGACAGTCTTTTGACTGTAGGCAAAGGAAACGGGGGGCCTACTGCAGACAGCTAGTTTAAAAAGTGTGTTCTTTTAATTATTCTGCCTGTTTGTATTGCTGTCAGATTCCAGTAGTGTTCCTAGTTAGTTTTCTGACTGCCCTAGTCCCACACACTAGGCAGAGGCATCATGCAGATTCCCAAACAGTCGAAGAGGAAGCAGTTCATGGTCTTAATTATCAGACAAGCTCATTTAAATCCAGCCTGCTTAAGTGCTGATGGATTCACAGACAGACGGCGAAGAAACTTCCGGCCTTTTAATGGCAACAAATGGATACTGTGAGAACCTGTGCCTGCGGCGAAAGAACACTGGGAAAATTAGAGCTTAGCAACACAGGACAAACATTGGAATCTGACATTTTGATGTGTAAACAGATGTTCGGGCAGCATTTGCTCAAAACGCTGCGTTATTCAGATTCCTCACAGATGAAAAAGAAGGAAGGAATGATATGTACAAACCTGGTTAGAGAGGCAGAGGCAGAGAGAGAAAAAAAAGAAAGTACCAAAGAAAGACATAAATACACACACACACGCACACTACCAGTTACAGGGGCGTAGAGAAATGTGTACACGGGAACACACATAAAGGGTGAGTGGCAGAGAGAGAGAGAGAGCGAGTGTGTGTGAGTCAAAGGAAAAGAGAGACACGGATAAACAATGACACAGAAACCTGATATCCACAATGATTTTATATCACTGCAGATATTGGGATTTCTGCTATTCATGGGCAGTTAGTTCCCTGTGATCTGCTATTAATGATGTTTTGATGTAGCCACGATAAAAACGTTATGGTGTTACAATAGTATCACACTCGCTTGTAACACCATAATTCTTCCCCACTGATCAAGGAAGACTAAGTACACCCTAAACAGTAACATTATAAGGCATTCATAAAAGAGTTAAGTTTAGATTTCAACCCCCACCTCCAAAGTATGAAAGAAAGGCCAAGAGTAAACAGATCAGTAATTTTCTCTGGACTTTTTCTATTAACCATCTTGTGAACATCCCAAATTAGACTGCAAAATGGAAGTCACAATTAGCACTTCCTACATCTTATGTAAATATCATAAACTAGACACGACTATACACATTCTTTCCCACTGAGCGAGAACTCCACCAATTGGAGGACCAGAGTGTGAGCAGCAACTGCTTACAGTTCTGCAAACCAATCAAGGTGGATTCTAAGGCCTGGATGTATGAAAGCGTGTTCACAAACTCAGACTCCAAGTAATGTTTTCCAGCAGCTGTCGCCCCAAGCCTCAGAATTTTCTCATCATCTATCTGGTGGACAGCTATCGGCACAAGATGGTGGCAGGGTTATCATTCATTTGATCTGTGATCTGTGTTGCCCACCATGAAGCTTGCAGGGAATTCCTGGTAGCTGCAATCCACTAACTCAAACCTATGCTTGTCAGATGTCAATGACCAACCAGTGACTATCCTCTGGGAAGAGGGGCAGGGGAGAAGATGTAAGCAGGGTCTCCTCAGAGCTAAACTGACTCCAAGGTGATATGTTTGGCATGTAATGTCAGAATCGAGCCAACTTTCTATGTTTTGAGAGTCAGTTACTGAACCAGACTGCTCTGAGGTACTCCAGGGCACAGCTGATAATAGCCCACAGAGCCTATCTCATCGTCAGGATTTGCAAGGGCAACCCAGTCACTGGAAGCAGTGAATTTTCCCACTCAGCTCCTGTTAACCCAGCAAGCGAAAGCCCTAATGGTTAGGGAAGTCATAACTGGACAAGCAATGGGAAAGCTTGCCAGGCAATGATTTCAATTAAACACTATGAGCTTTTAGCTGGTTAGGCTTCAACAGTACCCCAACACACACTCTGGGGTCCCCAAAACATGGAATCTTGCCAACCTTTGCCAAATACTTTCTAGAATTAGGGAAGCAGGATGCATCCTGTGGGCATTCGATTCCAACAATTATCTCAGGAATTTCCATGTACAGATGGTATGCATGGAACCCTCTGTTTGGTTCAGATATTCTTTAGCATGGTGATGGGTTTCTGCACATGTCAAGGCTGTCCAAAGAAAATAGACCTTATTATACACAGTACTATCAATATGACAAATGGAATACGTTAACGACACTGACTGATAGAATACAAGCCCACCAGGATTCTCAACCAGCTTCACAGGATATTACTGTGACATGCATCAATTCCACCGATGAATTTTAGGATTATTGTTCACTCTCAAGTATGCATTACTCTGCATTTAACTATTTTGAACTTGTGCATTTCAGACTCACTTTGCGGTTTGGTAACAAGTTGATCTAATGATCTTGTGAATTTGTATTGAGAATGGTTTTGTCTGAGATTTTTGCTCATGTTAAAGCTCTCGATCCCTCCCTCTGGCAATGCTTTGATTGAATGGTTACAACAAGGTGTGTGCGGTGACTCATCTGCTGAATTGTCCACCTCCACATCTTTCCACTGAGCCAATGAGAGATTTACCATTCTTTCAAATGATTCTGACACTACAGAACACAACTAGGCAGGTCAGACGTGAACTGAATCCAGTGAGCTACCTTGGCTCAAAGAGCCAAACCAAAAAATCTAAATTAAAGGAAAAAAAAACACCATTTCTATTGCAGTTCACCACTTAAAATGTCTCAAAGCACTTTACAGCAATTACTGTTAAGTGTACTGCCTGTTGATTTACTGGCAAACGTGGCAGTCATTTTGTGCACAGCAAGGCCCTACAAATAGCTAGGAAGGTGACTGACCAATTAATCTGGGGGACCTGTTGGCAATGGTCCTAGGAAAATCTCTCATTTTTTTCCAAACAGTGTCCCCCTGAACAGGAAGAAAAGAACTCGTTAGGGCATTCTATCCAAAAGACGACATTCTCCCCTGATATTATGGTGGCTTAAATTCACATAATTCAGAGTACACAGCACACCTTAGCTGTTCACATCTGTGAGAAAACCTGCACGCAATATTCAATTTTGCACTCATTGGACTGGACCGGTGAGCAATTACCAAGTGGAGATAAGAGAGACACAAAAGGAGTGTAACACGGAAGGGAGGCAAACTGCAATTAAATTAAATAAAAGGCAACTTTTCTTTAAACTGCACTTGAGGTGTTTGAGCTTGTTGAATCAGCTGAGGTATCATGATGATCAAGTGAGGCTTCAAGATTCATCTCAAAACAAACCCAGGAATGTGGCACAAATCTGAAGGTCATTTACAATAATATCAAAGCCAGCCTCAGCCTAGAGGGGATCGGAGGAGCGGCATGAAGAAGCATATCAGTGAGAAGTAAGAACAAAGCAGCACTCAGGTCTTTTTTAAAAAAATGTACAAATCTCAATTTAGGAAGACAAAAAAAACACATGGGGGGGTGGGGGGTGAGGACAAGCCAGCAATCAAGGAGTACAATAGGGGAGGATTTCTTTAACGGTCATCTGAACATCGATAAGCTGTTGGCAACACTTTTCATTTCTTCTGATTGCGTACAAGGACCAGCTAACGACTTGAAGTAATTGACGGGCACAATGTTCCTGCTGAGATTGATTGAATGACTATCTCTCTCTCCCGGGCCCTAGATGGAGCTGTGGTTTGTTCTTGGCAAGCGGTTTCTCAATGTCAAGGCAACCTGCTAGATTCTCTAATAGCTTGTCGAGATTTAATAAACACATCAGCTCAACATGAAGGTCCTAATCCTGGAAAGTTATTTTGACATAATTGATTTAATGCTCAAGAATTATCGAAGCATTCCTGTCCTAAAGTTCAAAACACCAGCCTTGCAAATTTTTCAGTTTGAGAGAGAGAAAGGTGAACAAAGACATTTTTTTTCCATTCTGTTAATTTCCATTCGAAAATATTCAGCATGATACGAATAACAGTTAATAATGATAATAATCCTTGCAATCGATATAGCGCCTTATCATGTCATTGAGATGTCTCAAAGCGCTTCACAGAATATACTGTAAAGTGGAGTGACTGTGTATATTGTGCAAGGCAGTGCCCCACAATGAGTCATGGATTGAGCGATCAAATTGAGTGTTGAATGGGGTGGTGCGGATTGGACGGCATACTGTGTGTTTGAGTATAAAATATAAAATATTCATAATGACAAATGCTATAGGATGAAAAGGGAGTATGTGTCTCAGCAGGTATCCAGTTACCTTATAATTAAAGTTATGATAGAATTCCTAAACATTACTGAAAACACAATGACTAAATACTGCAAACAGAAATAACAGCACTAACCTTTCCTGAAGACTGAATGCCTTTGATCATGGCAAGACACACCATAGTCCAGGCTATGAGCAGACAAATAGTCATCTTCCAGTTAAGACCTCCACTCTCTGAGATTGAGTCAGATATGTCCAATGCTTCTCTGTACCAGAAATAGGTAGTGGCAGAGCTTTTTTCGCATTCAGGCACAACAACTGAAACAAGACAGAAAGATGTCACCTTGCCACCATCACTTAACAAGGAAATGAAATGTTTGAGTAAAAAGGACAAGGATATTTCATACTCACAGGTTCTGGTGCCATTCTTCTCCAAAGGACACTGATCCCAAGGCAGTGGATGCTGGAAGGACTTGGAGAAGTAGAAAAGACTCCAACTGATAATGACATTGTAGTAAAGAGCAACAAAGAAGCAGACCTGGGCAAAACATCAAGAAACCATTTACAATCCTTTCACTGTATAAATTATGAGAATCACGGACTGATTTGCTTTTGTACATCAAGGAAGCACTGTACAAATCTATAGTAAAGCAGTGAAATACAATCCCATTATAAACGTTATGAATCTAATTTGGATTAATAAACAATGAGAATCTCTTGTCGCATTCCAGCTAATTCAGCACAGAATCATATCCTTTTCTTTCCAGGGTTGTTTCAGCAAAACAGAACAAAACAAAAAAGCTTTGGTGCCATCAAACTATGTCTTCCGGCCTCATACTCGCTTGTTGCAATTCCCAATACAACATCACCTTACAATATTTCAGCAATGTACATAACAAACTACAGTAATAGCTCTCATGGTTCTGGAAAGCAGAAGCAAATAATACTAACTGTTGTCAGGTAATGCATGAAAGGCAAAAAATCAATGGGAAACAATGGGTTCACATTGCTTTGTGGTACTTTAAATATTCCGTTAGATAATTACTTCAACTGTGTTAAAAAAAACAACTTTAGAACTCCTTTACTCTGGATTATATCAGGGTTCCATCCTCATTTCCTACTCTTTGAAAAGGGGAGCATCTGAGAGAATAGGTGTGAGAGAACTTGAAATAATCATTGGGCTTTCCTAACAAATACGACTTTGCACTTGGTCAGTCTAAAATGCAGCTGCAACAGACTTCTAACGTTATATGGGATTTTTATAAAGAATATTTAACATTGTGTTCACTCTTACTCAAGGCAAAAGGATTGCGGAGAATCCTGTGCACAATAGCTCGAAGCACAAAACATACTACGAACTATCTCCCACGCTTGTGAAAGAATGTTACACACCTTCAATCTTAAGGGTGAATGAACATGGTTGCCCAATCTTTCTACAAAGGAAATGTGAAATCAAAAAAGTGTACTCCACTTGCTTTGCAAAACAAAACTGGGAGAAAATAAGTCATAACATAGTATTTTCAAAAGTACCAACGTACAACACAGCTGGAAAATCCTATTCCTCCCAGACGTGGGCTGACATAATTCCAAACACCAATGCTGCCACGGCGGATTCTTTGCCCCACTGCAAGCTCCAGGAAAAACAGTGGTATCCCAATGATAATCAGCAAAATCAAATACGGCACAAGATAGGCACCTGAAAAAGAAACAACGTGGTTTTAACTTGTCACCACCATTTCCTAATATGTAGGAATGTATAGAATCGGAAGAGATCACATGTGATGAGTCCCAACATTTGAAAACTAGCATCTAACACTCTCGCTTTATACCTTATCCACTTCTTTCACCATTAGCCCCTGTAACTTACTGCTGGAAGACACTCTAGCAATGAGCGCTCAAGAAATTGGACATCATATGATGAAATGATTCCACTGCAATTTAATATTTTCCAACATATTGTTCTGACTGCTAGACCTCCCTCGGTTTAGATTTGATTTCCCTGATTATTTTGCATCCCATAAATATTTTGTTTGCCTAATAAAAACACTTACACTTGGGCCATACTAAGGAAAGTCACAATGATTAATACATGCATGAACCCAATCCCTGATATTTGAAATACATTGTGTGTGGAAATCAAGTGTGGATATTTCACATTATTAAGCCTTGTAGCTAGATGTAGATGGAGGACATATTATGAAAGATTGACTCAACATAAGAAAAGTTCATAAACTAGTTATAAGGACAATAACAATTTTACACAGTACCTTTCACCTTAGAAGGACATCTCAAAGCACTTCACAGAGCTGACTGGGAGCCTGGGCTGAGGGTTTGGGAATAGCAGGAGGTAAGGAAGTACTGGGAAGGATATTCCTGGTTGAATTGAATCAGTGGTATTGCTGCATAACACCTTCCGAATGGAATTATAATCCTGAGTCATAAGGTGCCTAATTGTATTTAATTGTAGAATGGCACAACAAGCTTTCTGAATTTATACTGTGGTATCCATGGCTCTCAGTAATGCAATGCCAAAGATTGGCAAATAGGCCCCTGCTGATGTCAACAGAAGTACATGATGTCAATCCCCAGACATTCCGCTCCAATGTTCCCAGAACTTGATTGGGGTATTCTCATGGATCGGCCTGACAAACTTCCACTTACCAACAGTTGTTGCTATTTGTGAATATTGCATTTACGACCCATTATCTTTATATCTGCAAAATAGACCCAATCCCTAATACAACCACATACTTACTTACCTCCACCATTTTTCTGACACAAGTAGGGGAATCGCCACACGTTGCCTAAACCAACAGAAAAGCCAACCTGGGCCAGGATGTACTGCAGTTTGCTATTCCAGGCAGGCCTTTCTTCCTCAGCATCAGAACCATCTTCAATGTCCACATCCTTATCAATCGGCGAATCATCTACATACAAATCACTTTTCTTAAATTGATCGTCGTTTGGATCCTCATTGGAGAGCAGGTCCTTGACAGATTCTGTGACATCCTCATCCAGTTCTCTCTTCACAACTTTGCTATTTTTAGGCATCGGAAACACTGAATCACGGATCCTGAAAAACTTTTCAAAAGTCTGGTGGGAGAGGTTTACTGTTTGGTTCCAACCAAACCCTATGAAAGCAGGCAATCCGTGCAAAGTCACTGAAAAACGGAGGTGAACTCTTAATTCTGAGTCAACAGGCGCATTCTGTACATCAACAGCTGCTGGTGGGAGTGGGGGGGAAGGAAAAAAAAGGTCACATTTTAGTCAGCAGAACAAGAAATCTTAAAACATGTAAATGAATGCTAAAAGATGCTTTGCTATCGACTATAATTGGTGTTCTTCAAATTGTTTCTGATGATTTGCTCTCACAACACAAATATAAATCACTTATTTAAAGCGTATACAGTTCTGGGCATATTCAGTGAAAACACACACATTTTAGGTAAGACAGCTGGTCTCTGTTAATCAGACTAAAATAGAGAGATTGGAACTGTTCTCAAAGATGGAAATTTACACCTGCCGCTTCATCTGTGAAAATCGTAGCACAACTGTATGGTCAGAGATTGCATAACCTCATAGATCTTAACAATGGAACCAAGTCTCTTCACATTAAGATCTATGTGACTGTAAATACAATATTGAGACAAACTCTAGGACAAATCACGATTTCTCATTTCCTCTTTACAACTACACATTATTCTTTCTATTACAAAAGTGAACAGTCATTTGAGTGTAAAATACAAGCTAACTATTATCCCAAACTGCAGGAGTAGCACATTTCTAGGCCAATTGGACCCAAGGTTCAACACATAAAATGTCCTGCAGCGCAAGTAAACTACCTTATTAGAACAGTTCACCAGAGGGAACTTCAAGCATTGAGTTCTGTGTGAGGAATGCATAATACAGTACAAATACGGAACACAAGGTATTTGAAGAACGAGATTAATACTTTGAAACTATCTTAAGTCAGAAGAAACTTTCAAGGGCTAATGCAATGAAGGTGTCGACTGCCAAAAACACTGATGAATGTTAGAAGTGTAAATAAAAATTCTACAATTCTTCATTGTCAAGATTAACTGTGTATGGACTGAACCCCTCATTTCTCTCCGCAACCCCCCCCCCCCCCACACTCTCCCCCCCCCACACACACCTCTACGGTTTGCAAAACTGTATCCACCTCATAATACAACAACAAGATTACATTTGTATAGTGCCTTTCACGTTGGGAGGACGTCCCAAGGCGCTGGACAGCATACAGCATTTCAGACCCGAGCTGGGGTCGGGGGCGGGGGGTGGGGGAGAGAGGGGAGGGGAAGGGGGGTGGCTGATGGCATGGTCCAAGAGGACGGTCTTGAGGTGGGACTTGAAGGAGGCTAAGGAGGCGGCGAGGCGGAGTGATTGGGGGATGGAATTCCAGAGGTTGGGGGCAGAGTGGCTGAAGGCTCTCCCACCAATGGTGGGGTGGATGAGTCGGGAGACGTGGAGCAGGCCAGAGCCAGCTGAGGTAGGGGGTTCGGAGATCGCAGAGGTAGGGTGGGGCAAGGCCATGGAGGGCTTTGTATGTGAGGACCAGGATCTTGAATTGGATCCTCTGAAAGATAGGGAGCCCCTGGAGTCGGGCGAGAATGGGGGAGAAGGGGTCACGGAGTTTAGTGCGGGAGAGGGCATGGGCTGCAGAATTCTGAATTATCTGCAGTCTGTGGAGGGAGGAGTTGGGAAGGCCCACAAGCAGGGTATTTGCATAGTCGAGCCTGGAGGTGATGAAGGTATAAACAAGAGTTTCAGCGATCATAATATACAAAAATGACTTAGAAAGGAAATTAAAACATTCCTGCAAACCAGAAAGGTTTACTGTCAAAAATCAGCTAATGTACTGATGTAAAAATTTACTTTTTCTGACACATTAGGTAATGTTGTTTGTCTTGATATATTTGACAAAAACGATGGCACAATTTTTCTTCTGAGTTGCATCTAGCCAGTATTTTCCAAGTGATAGATTTTCGATTTGGGTGTTTGCCAAAGATGCAGTACTATAAAATATCATTTTCAGGAGCCCTACAGAAATCACCACCAGATTGGTCAAAAATGCAGGGAAAAGGAAGCTATTGCACTAGTACCCCTCTCAAGTCTGTAAAACCAGAATGACAGATACAATGGAGTCTATCAAGGAAAATGTCCTTATAAATAACTGATGAAAATATGACTATTGTAGAGATTGTCACAAAGTTAGAAATGAGAATTCTAAAAAAACTATTTCAGGGCTTAGTTTTTAAATCGATTTCACGGTCTGGGTCCTTAACTTTTTTGTTGGAAAGTCATCATAAAGCTGCTGGAGGAGATGGTTATGGGGGTGGTTGGAATCAAACCAACAATCTGTCTCTGGGATTTCCACGTGTAGGTGGGATACATAGAAATCTCAGTTTGGTTTGGATACTTTTAAGCATGGTGATGGATTTCTGCATGTGTCAGATCCAGTTTAACCAAAAGAAAATTAAGACGTGTGTGTGTGTGGGGAGGGAGACATCTGTTATGCAGAGATTAAATATGCAGAGGTTAAATATTCATAGATCAAATACATTTTCTCCATTTTCCACACAATATTGATACTTAAATGGCATTTTTACTTAATTGCCATTTAGTCTCTAGATCAGGAAGTGTGCCCTCCACATGAGAACTTTCCATACTTAATACTGTATAGCATTTTATCATGTCAAAATGTCTCAAAGCACTTCACGCAATGAGTTGAATTGAAATGCAGTGAGTGCCTTGTGTAGACAAACATTGCAGCTGAGCTACACAACAATACCCCAAAATCTGCAATGAGATGAATACCCAATTTGATTTGCAGTATATTAGTAAATTTACTGCGGTTAAAATATGTGCCAGGACGCCGGAAAAAGTCCCTGCACCTCTTTGAAATAGCGCCCTAGCATCTCTAACATTCTCTTGATCGACTAGAACATGCAGACGAACATCAGTTTGGTGACATTTCTGAAGGACAGTATATTCGTTGAGTCCTCAGTACTGGAGTGTCAAAACAGATTAGGAGCTCAAGCCATGGTGTGGTCTTTAGCACCACAATCTACCAATGAGCCGAACTGAGACCTATGTTTCCTACGGCCATCATCAAAATGAAGGTCCAAGCCGTCTTCATACATGCATTCTTATGGATACTTTGATGGACAATGTAGAACTAATCCACTGCAGACCTTCACTTACAAAATACCCAGTCACTTCATTTTACAGTAAATCTTGTGAAGTGCTTTGAGACATCCTCCTGACGTGAAAGCCACTGTATCGAATGCAAGGACTATTTATTATTATATAATGCTCCAGGCATCTTGCAAAGTGAGCTGCTCATTATCGGGGAAATTGAACACAGATCCTTTTTCTGTCTAAGTTGCAACCATTTGAATTTCTTCTTCACAATTATTGATAGTAGAGCAGCCCAGATAGTATCTCCCCATCGATTTTTCCACAGAAATCGACAATTACTGTAGATTTTCTAAGATTTTTTTCAACATGTTACTTTTCTCTATGTACTGATTCATCAATTACAGTTGCAAAAATGGATACTACAGTTAACAGAACGTTTTGTCTATCACAGAGATTAGGTAAAGCAACTTCTCAAGTTTAACTATAAAATGACACGTTGCGTGCCTATTTTTGCTTTAAAAATATGCTTTTGTGCAGTTTGCTCGATACTGTAGCCCCATAGTCTGTACCCCACTTGCTTTATATCAACCGACAGCCAGGCATAGTTAACATAGCTTCACTGAGCTTCCATTTGTGCTCTTGCCAAGAAGCAGTGCATCTCTTTCACTGGGGATATACGAGTTTCAATACTCGGATCCCCAAGACAGGTGTCCAGTTCTCTAGGCCTGGAGTTACTGCTTCTAAACCTGCATGCAATTGGTAACAGCATCAGATTTCTTCAGTTGGGTTGAGGACCAAATAAAACATAGTTAAGTGAGCGTTCACTGAACTACTATTTGAAATCGAATAGAATCGTCTTTCAAGATCTTGAACTTGGAATTATATCAGGTCAAAGGTAACTTACAACCCAAGTGACCAACACAGAACAGCATAATTATTGATAGTTCTGGTCTACTTCTCATCTTAACTCCCACGATGTCAATTAACATTGAGGCATATATCACTGGCCCTATTTTTAGCCGGAATTTATTTCTAAAGTTATGTAAAGATTCTTTGAATACTGTCTTGTTGATATCAGCATGTACACAACGGGAGGGTTAACCATAGTTCCTAATAGCGTTTATTTGTGGTTACAAATTCCCCAAATCCACTTAAGGACTATTGTATTCAGAAATCTCAGTTTAAAATAAGGTAAAGGGCTCCAATGTGAACAATTCAATGCTATTTTGGGAAGAATTGATGTTCGTAACTATTCAAAACATGGTCCAAGAAAGTTAGTTTGATGAATTTGTTTGGTCTTTAAAACATAAACAGCAATTTTCTTTAAAATACACTGGGAGGGTTTTCTTTCTTGCCTGCAATTCTGAAAGTGATTTGAATAATCATTCATTTTAGTGATGGTGATCTTTTTCTATTATGTGACAGCATATTTAAACACTCCCAACTTGCCTGGGATCATGTTAGGATTTCACCGCTTGTCTGTCCTTTTATGACCGACACAGCAAGGCACCCCAATGGGACACTACCACTTTCGACATTAATATTCTAAGACTGAACTGAACTGAGGAAATCCAAAACCAGGAATGACCATGTGGGGAAAAGAGTCTACAGCTGTTTAATGCCACTTCCCTGCTGAGATCTTGCCACCAAATCAGTTTAATGGTTTTGTTTTTTCTTTTATTTATTAGGAATCAAATCTAAAAATCAAATCGTAAAGTCATTATTTCACACCAAGCACATTTCCCCCCTTCATTGCATCTCAAGAAATTATCAAGCACATCATACCTCCCCACAACCCCCCATTCAGTGACTGTCAAATTGTCTCTCGGAAATCAATACACTTGATTGTGCAATACCGTTAAATGCAATAGTTAGCATTGTAAAGGACTTGCTCAAAAAAATATTTAATCGAGATTGAGTTTATTTTACAGAGAGGGAGTGTGACCCGGGCATAGTGCTGGGTACATGCATGGAATTATAAGATTTACAAAGAATGTACAACATGCATAGAAACAGGCCACTCTGCCCAACCAGTTCGAGCCTGTGTTTATACTGCACATGAGCCTT